ATGTAGAAATTTTGTTTCTTCTCTCCAAACGAAATAGTCTTAGGAATGGAAGTGGAACAAAGTGGAAAGCTGTGCGATTGAATCTCCTCTAGAAAAATCAAACGTTATCGTAATCGAAATCGGCACTTATGAGTCTCGTTTCGGTTTTGCTGGAGATGAGCAAACACAAGTTGTTTGGTAGTGGATTGCGTTAGTCTCTAGGTAAACCTTCCATCCAACATTGTAACATATACAAAAGGAAGACCCAAGTCTTCCTCGTCCGACATTCAAACAACGACAATCGCAGGAGAGTCAAGACCTTGGAGGTATTTGAATGTGCTATTTACAAGTGTTAGATATCAAGATTCCATCGTCTCTCCTCTCGTTCGCGATCTAACAAGTATTTCTAAACGTATTCTCTCTATCGACTAGTTTGCAACTGGGGAGGCGTCGAACAGCTCGTGACCCTTGCACTCCAAGATTGGCTCTGTGTGAACCCCGACGAAAACCCCGTTCTCCTCATCGAGCCTCCCATCGTCAAGCTCTCCCGTCGTCAAAAGTGCCCTTTCCTCCCTCCCCTCCCTCTCTAGATTCAGCGAACTTTTCTTTGAGAAATTCCAAATTCCCTCCCTTTTAATGTTCAAAGACGCAGCCCTCACCTGCTTCTCCCGCGGTCGCACCGTCGCCATGGTCGTCGATATTGGAGAGCATTTCACGCGTTGCTGCGGCGTTATCGATGGTTTTGTCGATCGTGAAAATGTCGTGATGCAGCGATTTGGTGCGCACCGAATTCGATCCCTCGCCCTCCAAAAGTGCATTATCCCCGCGATTCACGGTCACGAAATGAAACTCCCGGGATGTGTGCGATTTTGTGTTTTGGGGTTCAGCGTAGCCGCCGCTGTCGGAGGATGGAAAAGTTTGTTTGTTCGATTCGATTGCACGCGATGTGTGCGAAAAAATGTGCCTATTTTTGGAATTCCTATAATCGAGGTGTTTTGTGTCGGAAAATCCTTATCAATCTGCGCTGGACGTCGCTTCGGTTCCTTCGGTTTCTTCTGGTTCCACGGTTTCCACGAAATCATCAAAAGCGACCTCATTTACGCTTCCTGATGGCCATTCTGTCCATTTTCCATGCTCCTTTTCACATAGATCTCGATAGGCAGCGATCTAAACACAATTCCAGAGCTTTTATTCACTCCAACGCCTCTAGGCGATCCATCATTGAAATCTCTCCAACTGTTCGTAGCGGATCAGTAAGCGTTCTAGCGGGCTATTAGACAGGTTAACACGATGTAGCGGCGACACAACACGCGATCTAGGCAATTCTGTGTTGCTGTGTGGCGGCGTTGCAGGAATGAAAGGACTGGCGACGCGATTAAATCGAGAGTTGGAGGTGATGTCAAACGGAGTCGATTTTATTATGTGGCTTGGGACGTAGGCTGCACGGTTGGCTCCCTTGCCCGAAAACGAGAACCGATCAAGCGCTTTTTTGGGAGGTAGTTTACTAGCTTCGTTAAGTTCCTTTTCGGGTTTTTAAACGAATTTTATAATGTGAGGCGTAGAATTTACAGTATCAAAAGCGGAGTATGAGGAAGTTGGATTGGATGCAGTTGACAAAAAATGCCCTTATTTCTGTTTGTTGGATGAAACGCCCTCGTTGTCATCATGAGATTTACGACGTCGTCGTGCACTACTTTGTCAAAAAATATATTCATTTCTCTAAATTTTGAATAATGGCAAAGGAAAACTCGCCTATTTCGAATTGTTATCTTTGGGGAGTTTGCTAATCTTGTAGTCTACTTGATCCTTTACAATACTGCCTGCATGCTGGGATGGTTCTACCTCTGGGTTCTTCAGTATCAGTTCTATACCACGGGGTTTGCTTTTGACAAACACGTCATCACTAGATCGGGCGATTTCTGGGGTTTAATTGGAACTCCTTTGAAGTGGGTGCAAACTGCTGCCGTTTTAGAAATTGTTCACTCCATGCTGGGTTTGGTCCGTTCTCCTGTCATGACGACCGCTCTCCAAGGTATATTTTTATATTCTCCCCTTTTCTAATTTACAGTTTTCTCCCGTGTCATGCTTGTCTGGGGATATGCTAATCTCTGCCCTGCTGCGCAGCAAGCGTGGTCGATTCGCCTCATGGTCCTCAGGTACCTCCATAATCCTTATATAAATCACAACCAGCTGGTCTCTCGTGGAGGTGCCTCGCTACATGTTCTACCTTTTCAAGCTTCTGGGTCTGCAGATGCCGACCTGGCTTTTGTTCCTCCGCTACAATCTGTTCTATGTGTTGTACCCGACCGGAATCACGGGCGAAATGCTGACCATGTGGAAGTCGCTTCCTTTCTTGAAGCAAACGGAAGTTTGGTCTATTCGTCTGCCCAATACGTGGAACTTCGCGTTCAGCTATTACGTTTATACGATTATTCTGTTGCTGATTTATGTGCCTTGTAAGAATTTTTGGGGAAAGGAAGTGATGAATAGTGGGACCGTTCATGATTAAGAATATGATTCGACAGCGCCAAAAGAATGTAGGAGAGAGGGAAAGGAGAGTGTGATGTGTAGTGGGTGGAGGCGAGAAAGCAGAAGAGTGAATAAGCGGTTGTTTGTAAATTGTCTTTTTGCTTGTTTGTTGCTACATGAGATATTTGTTGTTACCAATATTTCGTCTAGTAGTAGGATAGGATGATTTATACTGGAGCATAATGTACTATATAATAATAAAGGAATAATAATATAAAACACAACTCCTCAGCAAAATTAACTTTGGAAGATGAACGCTCCTGATCCGTCGCTTGCTGTCCATCTTGACGTGGGCATGAAGAAGTAGAGACCATTGTGCAATCAATTATTGCGTGTAGAATCACCCAGATCGTCGAAACCAAAATGAATAATTCCTGCAAATATATTATCGAAGTTGAAGATCACACGTTGGGAAATATTATGCGAATGTACGATGGTTGTGTGTTTTCGTGAATACGTAGGGATATGATCGAAGACCCGAATGTAAAGTTTGTGGGATACCGCGTTCCTCATCCGTTGAGCACTTGCATCGAGATGAGAGTCGTTTTCGTGAAATTCGTTTCCCTTGTAGGTTCAAACAACAGGACCGAAATATCCGCCTGCAAAAGCCATGACTGAGAGTTGCAACCGCCTAATTCAACTGTGCCATGATCTGAGTAATGATATCGCAGTACGTTTCGAATTCGCTCCGTATAATCGTAGAACTACGAGCAGAAGAGCCAGAAAGAGACCGAAGACCATGTATTTTTCCCTGTTTGTTCGAGTCTCTCACAAACACAACAAACTAGCAAAGGCAACATTCGTTTCGGCACGCGATTCGTGTTCAAATGCGACATTTCCGCTTCTCGTTCCACCACTTCCTCACTTCTCCGCATCACCACACACAGCCACATGATGAGCACCACGAGACACACCACACTCAGCAACGCGAGTCCCAGCATCCACTCCTCTCGATTATTCACTAAACAGAACGTCAGTGTCAGCTTCTGCGCTCCCCCTGCGTTCCGGACCTCCACTTCCACCTCCACGACGCTTCGACTCTCTCGATACTCGCCTTCGAACACGCCGCTCTCGTTATGGAAGACGAGTCCCGCGGGAATGTCGCTGGCGGTGAAGAGGAGCTCGACGCCGAGCACGGAGGGCGCGAGCGAGACATGGCGATGGCGCGGGATGTAGAAGAGCGAGGCAGCGTAGCGGAAGCTGGCGGGCGCTTTGGGCATGCAGAGGTCGAGGGACTCGGTCCAGGCGCCCGCGTCGCAGAAGCGGAGCAGACGGCCCTCGTAGAGCGAGGGACAGCCGAAGTCCTTCCAGTGCCCGCTGGGCGTGCGAGAAGAGGATTGGGATTGGGATTGAGAATCCATCGAATTGAAGGATGATGATTTGATGGATGATTTGATGGATGATTTGGATTGTGGAGTCGTTGAAGGCTCTCTGGACCTCATCGAATTGGCTGCTGCTGCTGCTGCTGCTGGCTTCATGGATGGTTGGGACGGTCGATTCATCGCCCGCTTTCCATCCTCCTTCCCCTCGCTTTCCCCTTTTTCTTCCACCATTTCCACCATTTCCACCATTTCCACCATTTCCACACTTCTCTCCTCAGGATCCTCGCAAAACCCGTCCAGCCGCACGGCCTGGGCTTCCAGCTCGGCCACCTCCACGCTCTGCTTGAAGTCCGTCTGCTCCAGCCGGATCCGCAGCATCGAGAACACGCCATCGTTATAGAAATCGAAGCACTGCCGCTGTCCGAACGCCACCTTCTCGAACGCCACCTCCTTCGTCATCAGCAGCTCCCTCCACTCCACCGTTTCCCCGTTTCCACGATTTCCTCCCAGCACGGTCATCCAGTGAGGGTCCGCTCCCGCGTGATTGCTCGCAAACACGCACACCCTCGACACGTACTCGTACCGCTTTTCCTCCCAATCGATCTCGACCGTCACCGCCGCTTCTTCAAACCCCGCATAATCGTAGTACTCTCCGTCTACCGCCAGCGCCGCATCGTGTCCCGCCATCGCCGCCGCGCTCGCTCGCACCACGCCTCCCAGCGGTCTGAACGACTCGTCCCGCAGCAGCGTCGCCCACAGATCGAACACAGAACCGCGGGGAACCGACTCATGCACCTCCACCGCCAGAACCGCGGGGTCGGTCGAGAGCCCCACGAACTGCAGCGGGAGAACCGCGGAAACCGTCTCCGGCTGCGCGAACTCCCGCAGCGGGAGCGTGTCTTTGGAGAGGTTCCCCGCGGGGAGGCGGTGGCGCAGGAGCTCCCGACCGGCGAGATAGAGCGCGAATCCCCCGCGGACGACGATCTGGACCTCGATGGCGACGTAGGGCAGGAGGTCGAGAGCGTGGGATCCCACGTCGAGGAGGGTCTTGTAGTACTGCGTGCGCGCGGTCGGGGAGGCGGGGAAGGCGCCGGGGCGAGCGGCGGGCCAGGGCTCGTGGAGAGGGTCGAGGACGCGGAACCAGGCGGGCGGAGGCTCGGCGGAGGCGTCGAAGGAGAAGTGCCAGAGCGATCCGCGGGGGAGGAGAAGCCCAGCGTGGAAAGGAATGCGCGGAGAGGAGAAGCCTGGGTTGAAGAAGCCGTGCGCCAGGGACACGCCGTCGGTAGCGAGCGTGAAGGTGGTGGAGAGGAAGCCGGCGTTGCTGGCGTCGGCGAATTGGAGGAGGTAGTCCCCGCGGGGGAGGCAGAAGGCGCGGGAGAAGGAGGGACTGGCGGTGGTGGAGGAGACGAGCGTCTCGGAAAGGAGCTGGGCGTCCGCGGACCAGAGCGAGAAGGAGAGAAAGGCCTGCACGTTCTCGATGTGCTCTAGCGAGACGGTCACGAGGGACGACGGCGCCGCGCAGACAGACGGCACCAGCGTGATCGCTGTGGTCCAGCGAGTGGAGTCGGCGTCCGCCTGCACAACCACGCGGAACGGACGCACCGAAGCCACCGAGGAGGCCAAAGAAGAGGCCAAAGAAGAGGTCAAAGAAGAATCCTTAGAAGAATCCTTAGAAGAATCCTTAGAAGAATCCTTAGAAGAATCCACAGAAGAATCCACAGAAGAATCCCCAGAGGAAGAGAGGGGCAGCTGGGAAGTGCCGAAGAACCGGCCGTTCCCCGAGTCCAGGAAAATCCCCGCGGGTAATGGGGAGCTGGTGAGAAAGGACGTGTAGAACCCGCCGGGCGTGTCGATGCGCGGGAAGTCGACGCCCAAAACGAACTCGACGGTGTCCCGCGGGTAGGCGAAGGGCGGCCGCTCCACGCGGTCGAAGGCCAGAGTCCGCACCTGGAGCTCGGCAATGCTCACCTCGGTCTGCCAGGCATTGCCGAAAAAGAGGAACTCGATGGCGATCAGCACGCGGCTCTGCATCGCGCGGTCGGTCACCGGGAAGCAGCGCTTCTCGCCGCGGTGCGCGAACCACACGGCGCTCTGCGTCTGCAGCGCGCGCCAGGCGAGATCGGCGCTCTGCACGCGGACTTTCCACCCCGTAGGCGCGGTCTCCAGCTCGCTAGGCGACGCGGTGAGGCAGTAAGCACTGATACCCATAGCCAGAGAGGACTGGAAGCTGGCCTTGAGCACGGCGAAGCCGTTCTCCAGTTTCCCTTTCCAGAGCGTGGAGGGGTCGCCGTCGATCGCGAGAAGCGGGTAGAAGTCGGGGAGCGACGAGGACGCGCTCATCGAGACCAGCTCTCCGCCCACCCAGAGCGGCTCGCGGCTGAGCACGGCGCGGAGCAGTACACTCTGCACGGCGCTGGGCTGCGTCCAGCCTCGCACTAGCCGGAGGGCGAGAAGATTGCGACCGTCGCGCAGACGGTCGGCGGAGATCCGGACGGTGACGACGCTCTGCGGACTGCAGACGCGGTCGAAGAGGTACGCGCCGTTCAGCGCGGCCCAGACCGTGCCGGTGTGCGCTAGCAGCAGGTCGACGGCCTCGAGCTCGCGCTTGGCGACGTCGAACCAGCCGCGGAGATGGAAGGTCCCTGCGTACTCGAGGCTTTCCATGGAGACTCTGTGCCACCGCCAGTCCTCCTCGAAGTCCTCCTCGAACCAGCTGCAGTCCACCTTGCTGTCTCCGTTCAGACTCCACTCGCTCGTCCGCGACAGCAGCGGACTCGATGCGAACCGGAACGTCGCGCACTCGTCCACGCCGAACGCAGACGCCTCGCTCGACCACTCCGTCGCGCACACGTCGAACCCAAGCTGCGCCAGCGTGCTCCACGCGCGCGTCGACGTGCGGAACGCCTCATGTGAACGCACCGTCAAGCGGCCTGTCCGCGAAGCCGCGCCATCCGCGCGGAGACGACGCTGAATCGCGAACTGCCGACCCGGCGGAAGGCAGAAAAACCGCGAAACCTGGAGCGTCGAGGGACCGCAGTCCACGCCTCTGCCCTCTCCAATGACGATTTCTTCTTCGTTGATGGCGGTTTCATTGGTGGTTGGGAGGAGGACGAGTTTCCACTGTTCGGTTCCACTGTTCAGATGGCTGATCTGCGCGATCTCGAGCAGCATCGAGTCCGTCGGGCAGCGTTCGAACGTGATCGTCAGGTTCACGCGCGCGACTTCCCGCGTGATTCGGTCGCGCGCTTCGATGCGATACACCGCGCTCGACGGCTCGGAGACCACGCCTTCGATCTCTCCTGTGACGCGGTCGAGGGAGATTCCCGCGGGGAGGCCGGGTTCGACGGCGAAGTCCTGGAATCCTGGGGAGATGGGCGCGATATCGACGGTGTCGTAGAAGCAGAGGAAGGAATAGGAAGACTTGGAGTAGCGAAGAATGGGCTGAGGAGGAGAAGAAGAAGCGAAGAATTGGATCTCGGCGAGCCAGATTTCGTGGGATGCGCCGACTAGGAATGAGAGATGGGGAGAAAGAGGGACGGAAGTCGAGGCGGTAGCGCTGATAGGAGGAGGCGTGCGTGTTCATGGCGAATCGGAGAGTGTGGGTGCCGCCCTGCCACAGAGCGTCGCTCCGCTCGTCCAAGAGATCGCAGAGCCAGCCGTCATTCGAAGAAGACGACGAGGAAGTGAGGGGTGATGCATTGGATGAATGGTTCGATGAGGAATGGATGGATGAGTCTCTCAGAGAATTGCTGGAGGAAGAGTTTGATGGGTCATTCAATGGATTGCTGGATGAATTGCTAATTGAAGAGTTCGATGAATTGCTCGATGAATGATCCAATGAAGAGTTCGATGAATTGTTGGCTGAATGATTCATTGAAGAGTTCGATGAATTGCCTGATGGGTCAATGAATGGCGACTTCGCTGATTCACTCCGCAGCTTTCCGGCTGAATGATTCAAAGAAACCTTCGCCACGTCCTTCAACGAACTGCCAGAAGAACCATTCAACGCCTTCCTCCCTGCTTCCTTCCTTGTCTTCCTTCGCACACCATCCACCCCCTTCTTCTCTCCCTCCGCCTCCCTCACGCATCCTCGCACCTGCCACCGCACCGGATCGAACTCCTTCTGCCTCCCCGACGTGATCGCGTACCCGTTCACGTACTCGAATCTACGCCTCATCGCCTCGCTCCGCATCCTCTACCGATTCGCCTCGAACGTCACCACGAACTCCGTCGTGTCGCCGATCGACTTCCAGAACGACACGCGACTCCCGTCCCACGCCTTCTCCAACGGATTGCTGTAATAATCGCGGTTATGCAGACTCGACACCACGGACTCACCAAGACGGTTCGAGGTCTCGGGAATCGCCACCAGCGTCAGATCGAAGTGGTCGGCGATTGGCTGCGTCACGGCGGAATCTGATTGGACGGCGAGGGTGATCGTGGATTGCAGCCAATGGATGGGGATGGAGTACTGAAAACAACGATTGGGCGATTGGAATTGCGTTGAATTATCGTAGTTTCCTGTAGAAGAAGAAGAAGAAGAATCGGTATTGTTAGAAGAGACATGATCATCATCATGCGATCTCGTGTTGGACAGCGTGGTATTCAGACGCTCGAAGATCGCTCTCCCGTTAAGAAAGAGCGAAGAAACGTCGCGCGAGGCGACACAAAACATAGCAGAGCCAGAAGTTTGAAAGGATGAAGTATTCACTGTGACCGAAAAGCGGTAATAGCGAGACCCAGAGTACAGGGGGAACTCGGTTTGCTTGACTAGCCAGGCACGATCGTCGAAGTCTGGCTGTGTCCAGTCCGATGAAACGGGACCATCAGAAAACTTCCAGCTTTGATTCGGGAGAATAAGGATATGTGCTGCACATAAAAAATAAAAAGCAACAAAACTTACGAAAAAAATAAAAAACTTGGTTCCCCCCAAAATCGCAAGTTCCTCGCAACAGCTCTATCCTCTGCAATGTACTTATCACGAAGTAAGAACCCTCTTCCCAGCTACTTCGAAGACTAATTCGTTATCCACGCTAACACAGAATCTACCTATCACTCACAACAACGTGATAAGGTTTTGGACTCAGGCAAAGTGTTGTAACATAGTATGTATTATCTTTCCCGTATCCGTTTATAGTGAAAACAGTTTCTGCAGACTCCACTTCAAGAATTGTCAGCACCTGGGACGCTGGATTCGATTTAAATAAAATAAATAGATTGTAAGGATTCTCTCTAGGACTGCAACACAAAACAACTCCTGCAATTCAATCTCAATTCAAAAAACTCACCTAGAAAGAGAAGAAATGTGCGCACCCATTTATTCATTCACTATGATACAAAAAACAAGAAAATATGTAGCAAGAATACGCATTGTTCAAGACAAAACACATCGAGGAGTTTCAGTTTTGAAAGTCGTTGTGTAAACATCAAATAAACGCACTTTCTCAGCTTCCCAGATAGCGCATCATACACAGACAAAACGAGAGAATGAGTGAAACAAACAAAAGGTGTGAGAAGTTACTAATCTATGAGCTTTCGCAGTAAGCATGGCTTCCTTGATAAAAAACTTAAACCTGAGCTTCATAAGATTGTATGCTATCATTGCACACAGGACTCAAGTCAATAACTCGACTTTTAGAGGGATAAGCGCTTTCGACTGGCTGATAGGAGGATTGGGCCTGTGCATAAGATCCTTTGCACATCCTGTCAGAGGTAAGGATCTTAAGCGGGCTGTGTAATAACTTAGCTACGTAAATTTCACTTCCAAATGAACCAGCTTCAAACTGCTTCACTGGGATCCATACAGAGTAAGGGACAGGAAAAGCTCTGTCAGATACACTAGTATGTTCACTACTAAAGGACTGGGACACAATCTGCACTTGATACGACGACCCACTGGGCGATAGGCATGGTTTCTGAGTGGGTGATGGTGATGGTGATATGGAAGAGGGAATATTAGTAGTGTTCCTTTGTGTTTCACTACCCCTTCCTGAATTCAAAAGAAGACTTTCTTGGAGCCTCCTCTTCTTATCTACGCCCTTACAGCCTCAAACGAACACATTACCATAATAACGTTTCATTTGGTTTTCGCGACATGTACTGCAAATAATACATATCCCCATGTTATTTTTGCTAATAAAGTTACGAATGGGCTTGGTCCGATGACACTGTCGACAGACCTTAGCATTGGTGCTCGAGAGCATCGTAGAGTTAATCGGATAAATTCTCATAATTTGGGTCAACTAATTGCATAAAAAAATGAAGATTACAAATACCTCAAATATTTTCCACACTTCGTTCTTTTTGATTGGTGGTTCCCGTTGAAAGATCCAGTAGAGCGAAAAATCTTGCCTTTTAAGATAGAGAACACATTATTAAAGGTTGAGAGGGACTTCCAAATGGTGCTACGGGTAGAGAAAATTCAAAGACACTATTCTACGGCGGGTGGCCTTTCTTCCAGTAAATTCTATTTTTATTTCAATGAAAAAAACAACCCATAACCCAGAAACTAACTACGTAACCTTGCTCACGCTTTAACACTCCGACTTCATTCCCTCCTAATCGTCCAAATCAAAATCAAAATCATCAGACGCACACCCTCAAACCGCCTTCATCAACGACGACTCGTTTGCAGAACTTCCCAATTGGGAGGTGTTATGTGTGTCTGTACCGTCTGTCAAACCGAAAGAATCTGACTGGCTTTCGCCAACCACCACGATCGCAGAGCTCGTGCTGCTCAAAGCCTTATTTGTGTCGTCATTACTCATCTGCTCCGCTCCATCCGATTCTTTTTCTACTTGTTTTCTTTCGATTTCTTCACACTTTTCAATCAATTCGCTCTTGGAAGACTGCCAGGTTTCGTAGGGAATCTCATTCGACAGAATCTATCGATAAGGAGAAGGGTACGAAACTAAAAACATATTGAGCATGAGAAGGTTTCAATTGGTTGATTTCTTCTGAGGGGTAGTTCAGGTTGGCCAGCTCTTGCTTCATGCTGTTTGTAATCTATTCATGAACAGAATGCACTTCACACACCATAAAGGCAACCCGAGCAGCATCCATCACTCTTTCTCCGTTTACAAGCCGATCCCATGCATTTTGAATCTTATACTTTGACTTTGCGTAGGTAGATAGGGTCATAACATAGAAACGACTGTTTTGGCGAAGGCAACTGGAATATTGATTGAATGCCGACTAGGATCGATGGAGACCAGAGTAGCCTACACGAAACACAGAACACTCTGCAGAAGAAAACGAATGCCACAATTCACGGTCAAAAGTCGTTCGTTTCCATACAGCCACCTGTCCTTTCGCTAGTAGTTTCACCAGTTTAGCAGTGCAACGAAACATGGCAAGAAGAAAGAGAAACTATAAAGAAAACAAGCTAACGCAATTGCACAGAAACGCGCAGCGCTCCGTTTGTGAACAAACAAGCAAAAAGTAAAAGAACATTCAGGGCTCCTCGACCTTCGGACCTTCCCAGATTCTGTACTCTACACAATGACACAATTCGAGAATGCTCCACGATAATAATCCTCAATCAGCGAGAGTTCATCGTTGGCTTGTTCCACCAACTCCTCCACTTGACCACAGCCAATAATTCGCTCGATTGTCTTGATCTGGAAATGATTTTAAAAACTCAAAAAGAAAATACATCTTCATTTTGTTCAACTACGTTCTTTCTATATTTGGTAAACGCCTCCACATTCTTTCTATATTCGGTGTTCGCAGGGATCTTCTAAAAATTAGCTGCGCATTCCAAACGCCTTCCCACCTTCACATTTTCCAGTGTTTTATCATACAGTTCAATCAGCACCGATCGGGCATTGGGAATCACGGGAACTCCGACGAGTCCGGTCGTTCGCTTCAGTGTAGTACAAAGAACCCTCGAGACAAACATTCTAAAAGACATTAGATTACAAACTCGATGACCAAATCAAAAATACCTTACCCTCCAAAAATAGCAGAATAGTTAAGGAGAAAATCGATAGAAAATGAATGGCAAAAATACGATCTATTTTTGAATTAGGAATAAACATGAGTAGTTTTTGCTTATTAGTATCAACAAACGATTAAGAAGGGTATGATTGGGTAATAGGATTCGGATACGACACTAAGGATCGTACTAACAACCAAAATAACTGCAATACAATGTTATGAATTTTGTCGATTCTATTTGTGAACATTACAAGAGAGTAGATTCCATCACATAATCTTCTACCAATGAGTAGTAAACAGATTGGAGAGGTGCAAGATCAGCTATATAAAGAGATGTACGAGAAATTCGTACAGCTGATAGCCGAATTAACGAACTTGGTTGATGAGTCTCAAAGAAAGATAGTTGAATATAAATCGAATCTAGAAACGAGCGTCATTCCACAATCAGTAGAGATTCGTCTGGATAATACCGTTTAGTTAGTTGACGAGTTTCTTGAACAGCGGCGTGTGCTAATCAACGGCATTGTGAAGAAGGTGGAAGAAGCGAATTGCTTTTTCCCGATCATTGATTTTGTCGATGTGTGTCTCCCTGTGTTTCTTGTGATTTCAATAGAAAGCCTTGGACGAGGTGGAGTCTTCTCTGAACCGTTTTGAAGAGCAATGCACAACAGTATTCAATACATGTCAAGATCGTCGTCCCAAGAAGGGTTTTTCGCTCTTCGTACATCTCTCTTGCCTTTTTTCACTCCCAGAATAAGAAGGAGCAGTCGGGCACGGACGTTCCTCCCCCGATCTGGGTGCATCCGGACTACATCTTCAACGCGGACGCGATGATCACGCAAATGAAGCAAATCCGCGACATCAGCGAGGCCGGTATGCATTCCCGCCTCCACGACGCTTCGCCTGTTTGTTCGAACAAACAAATCGCGCAACAAACAACCCCTTCTTTCTTTCTTTCTTTCTTTCTTCTTTCTCGCCGCCTTCTACCCTTCCAACTCCGACATCGATCGCGATTGCGACTGTTCGTCCTCCGCCTCGCCTCCCTGCCCTTCTCTCTGCCCTTCTCTCTGCATCTCCAGCACTCTGCGCAGCGTGCAAATGATCCCCGGGCCGCTCATCCCTTCCTCCACCCACAGGAGGAACTTGGCTTGCTGCAGCGGCGTGAGCACGCTGAGAATGCCCTTCATCTGCTCGTGCATCGATTCGATGTTGTCTTTCATCTTCTTCTGCACGCTGTCCACGATGTCCAGGATCGACGAGATGTTCTCCTGCTGACGCAGCAGACCCCCGCGACTCCCCACAATCCGCTTCTTCTGCTCGTCTGAGAGCTAGATTTCAGATTTTTGGGTAGAACACGAACATGCATTACCGATGTCAGCAAGTTCCAGATTCCGCCTCCGTACTTCATCTGATTCAATTTCTCGTCGTAAAACTCGTCTTCCTGACCCATAGACCACAAACACATCTTCGTCATCTAATCATCATCATCATCCTCTCCTCCGCCTCTCTCTTCCTACCTGTGTCGGCAGCAGCAGCATCTTCAGCTGCTCCAAATACAGCTGGCACGCCGCGCTGCGCTCCTGCCCGTACTCGCTCCACAGCCGATAGTACTCCTTGATCTCGCGCAGAATGCTCGCTTCGTCGTGCGCCTCGATGCCCTGCTTCAGTCGCTGCAGAAAGGCTGCGTGCTCCTCCTCGCTCTGCTTGCTCTGGAACATTTGGCTGCTCATGTTCTCCAATTGCTGACGAAGCTTCCCGTTCTCCTCGCGCAGCTGCAGGATCTACAGAGAATCACTCGAGTTCGAATGAATTGAAAGTACTTCTTCCTGGATCGCTGCTTTCCGCTCCTTCTTGCGACGACGACAATTCTTGGCGATCTCTCGATTCTTCGCGAGGCGCCGTTGGCGCTTGGCGGACGCCTCGTCCTCGTATTCCTCGTCTACCGGCGTGGAGGTCACGGAATAATCGGGCTCTCGTTTCAGGGGGTGGATCGGCTCCAGGGATGGGAGATTCGAAAAAATATCAGATTGCCCAGCGGAAGAAGTGTCAAAAAAGCTTGGGGCACCTGACATCGAAATAGAACCCTCAGACAGCGTTTCTGGCTTTGTGGAACTATTCAAAACGGGGCTAGGCAACGCCATCAAGTCCAAGGAATCCTTTCGGAAAGGACTTTTCGATCCAACAAAAGGGGACGGCGGCAACAGATTCGGCGGAAAAAACGGAGAGCCGCTATTGAAACCAATAGCATCAAATTCAGGATTCGCTGGAAATGGAAGGGTGTCTTCCTCTATTCGATGACGCCCCGAATGTGAATGAACCTGGCTTCCCAGAATCTACTGGAAATGTCGAATCTAGATTGGATGTTTGAGGAACTAATTCTGTTGCCATCATCAACCATGACCCAACTTCTGAAACATCATCAACGAATTAACTATAATCACCTTTATCAAATAAATTTGGTCCATGGCTCCCATCTCTCCCGGACACATATGAGAGCATGGAATCAAGTTTATTCGCCCCTGCATTATTCATTGCAAAGAGAGGCGTACGGGTAAAACAATGACGTCATCACAAAAACGAAAACGTCCTGACGAAATAGATCGGATTTCTGGAATTGCAGATATTTGGGTCTAATTTGAGTTTTTTCTATTATTTGAAGTACGGATGAAATGGAAGATGGAAAGGGAATGAAAATCAGAGAGCAGTGTATTTGAAATTGAAGAGATTAGTATTTATTGTCTAAGGGTTGTATTACCTTATTTGGGGTTGTGGATCTACTGTTTTGAGTAAGTCAAAGGATACGGTTGAAATATGTGCAAAATTGGTTGTGAAGGTTATATTTGTATAGTGATGGAAATTCGAGTTTTTATGACTTGAATTGGAATGAAGAAGTATATTTGTGAAGAATAGAATTGTTTTCTATTATATAAATTTGCTATTACTTGTCTACATGGATGAACTATATTGCTCTGTATGATGTGCAATGAGCAATGCAGAGAATGGTGAATAGAAGTGTATCGAGAGTGCTTATGCTCTAATTTGAATCACAGCAATTGATTTTTATTTTTATTTGATAGCCAGGACGTGATACAGAGACACAACAGTTTGATGGTATACATAAGAAAGTGTTGTTTGTAGCTGCTATTGCAATTAAGCGCACACACCCTAAAAAATATGTATTCTTATCTTCGAGCAATAAGAAGAAAAAAGGCGGGAAACGAAATCTATTCTATAGTGGTGCAACTCTCTCATATATGTATGTTATCAGACACCTTGTAAAAGATGATTATTCGAAAGGATATTATGATTGTTGTAAAGTATAATGTGATAAAAAAAACAACAGATCAAGAGTGTTAAGTAGGGGAGCAAGCCAACAATACGAATACACGATCATTGTGAGAAAAGCAAAGCTTGAGTTACAAATGCCTCTGCATTTATCCTTCACTACATATTCAAGTTGTATAGAAATATCTATCAATAGAATAGGTTTAAAACGGATTACTCAAATAGCGTATGGATCGAACTTTCACAAAGGAGTTCGGAAGAGATAATTTGCTTAGAATTGGATCACCTATACATAGAAAATACAATTGTCTTCAAATATACTCAGGTGTGACTTTACATACATACTTCGCAAATTCATTTTAAGAAATAAAAGTTGTTTGATATGGAAGGTCTAGATTCAATTAAAAACACGATTTCATTCATACTACGCATAGTTCATCAGCATGATTCATCATAAGATCTTGCAACTCATGCCATATTACCTAAGATAATGGACTGTAATGATAAAATATCAACATCCATCATTACAGTCGAATTCATTCAATAGATTCGAATATAGTTGATGGGGAATTACAAAATACATAATCACCTATTGCTATTATGTGTAGATTTGGAAGATCTAATCATTCAAATACGCAATATCATGTTATTTCTTACCTCGGATCACAAGTGAACTAGAATAGAAATCCTAAGAGTCTTTTCCAATTGTGCCAATTTGAATGGATTGTAATTGTGGTAGATTCTTCAATACAAAGTCACCTGCAAAATCACTGAGACGGAATTCGCCCATTTGAATGAATTCCAATGATCCACAATTCAATATGTAGAAAAAGCCCGAATGATAGTATGTTAGGTTAGGATTATTCTGCAATTGTGATAATAATCTTATTCTTTATCTAATAGAGACTTAACAGAATGAGTGGATAAATTGTTTCCTATGTTGATTCTTTTCAATCGATTCAGTCCATCGATTTTTACTCTTTTTACCTTTCTAAAACAAGCATCGCCAATTTTGATCGATTTTAGCCATTCATATTTGTTCAAATTCTATGCCTTCATATCATTACAACAATTTGAACCTATTACTATCTCTTTCACTTTCAAATCCATTTCATTTAATTCAGAATGATTGTAAATTTCAATTTATATGACAATAATACGCACAATTAGCTCACTAAACATTTCAACTGGATTCTCTTTTTTCTATACATTCCGAAAATATCACTCATTCCATTCACATACCAACCTTCATACTAATCGATCCCTTCTTTGTTTTTTAACACAATTTCCCATTCACTTTCACGAATTGCTGTTCCACTGGCTTCATCAAGCAAATATCCCGTTTTCTTTTGTACATATTAACCATTCTCATCATTGTTTTCAGCATATTCGATCATTTGGTTATTATCAACATCAAATTCACAATTTCTTCGAATCAATTTGTCTTTCGACCAATATCCTTCAATCTTCTGTTTACCATCATTTTCTATATCATATTCGATTCCATAACCATCTCGATTCATTTCTTCATCAAATCCACCTCGATAGATCACCATATCATCATCATAATCATTCTCACACTTACTTCGAATTATCATGATTAATCCTTCTTTACTATTTTCGATTATTCTCCGATCTCCATCATTTCCAACAATCGAATCCCAGTTTTCTCTTTGTAATGCTTTACCATTCTCATATTCTATTATTCCACCTATTCGTTTACCATTTTTCATCAACCATGCAAGAATCAAAATTCCACGATTGAATAATTGACATCGACCTTCAACTTTACCCTCTTTCATTTCACTCAACAAATATTTATTCGAATGGTTTCCTTGATATGGGGTCGCTTCATTTTCCACTCCTTAATCGAAGTGATCTTCTTTTGAGAGGCAACGTAAGTAGTAGGGGAATGACGGGAAACACGCGAAAATCCATTTCCTACCAAATAACCGCGGCAACCCGTTTTTTGTTATTTTCGGCCATTTCCTGCCATTGCCTGCCTGGCCACCTCGATGGCCACGACGTGAAACACGCGGAAATCCATTTCCTACCAAATAACCGCGGCAACCCATTTCCACCATTTTCTGCCATTGCCTGCCTGGCTACCGTATTGTCCATAACAAGAAACACGCGGAACTCAATGGCTGCCAATTTCGGCAAATTTCTGCAATGTTAACCTGACTTCCATTGTAGGCCATGGTATCCATGGATGTCCAAAGTGAAAGATTGCTTCCTTTACTTCAGTCTATAATGCCCGAATGCAAGTGTGTGTATGTTGTCGTCCAAGATCCATCTCTTGTTGTCCGTGCAAGTCATGAGTGTCTTGGTCTGCTCCTTCGTGCTGATATTGAAGGCCTGGTTGTTGATACGCTTGAAAGTACCTTCGATCACTGCATCTTCCTTCTTCTCTGCCTCGAGGACACGCTTGTACAGCTCGATGTTCTTCACGCTCATTCTCTCACCATCGATTACCACATTGCGAGGAACTCCCTTCGCTGCGTTATGCACTACATGCTTCTCGTCAATCAAACAGTACATCTTTGGTCTAAGACCCACGAATTCAGTGATGCGATGCCCGTTATGCTCATCCTTGAATATGGGTCCCGGCAACTTCTTGTTGAAGTTGAGGAATGATTCCAATGAAGGGAACTTTCTCTTGTCCACTTCATGCTCGTAGTATTTTACGAGTTCTCCGTAGAAGTAGCTCGTATTATCGAGTTCAGAGAAGTCGAATGATTTGTACATATCGCACATTTTGTGGACGATGTTACCACGGTCGTTCAACTGCACGATGAGTGAGTCCGTGTCCTGTCCCAACAACTCTACACTGTTGAATGTCGTCTTGAGCACGTTGTAGTAGAAATCGTAGATGATGTGTTTGGACATGTCGAGAATGGCGAACCCGATGAAGAATGGCTTCTCCACTCTGCGCACCGGTGTGTTCAGCTTAATGCCGATCAGATTCTCGGAATACATGGTGGTTCCTGCGATCATGTCGTATCCATGCTTCTGAATGATTGCCTCACGTTCATTCCATGTGCTAGCGAACTTCACCTTCATTCGCTTCAGTCCAGTCTCCACGAATTTTCCATAGGTGGAGTTTGCTAACAGCTTATACAGGTTCTTCTCCACAGTAGTCTTGGACTTGGCTCGTTTTTCACTCAGCATGTTGACGTATTCGAAGATGAAGGGTGCTTGTTTGAAACGGATGATGCGGTGGATGTGCGTGACGTGATAACCCTGTTGAAGACCCAATTGATGCAGAGAGTAGTGTACGAGATATTTGCGTCGAGGTACAAGATCACAAATGAGTTTCGGTGTATTCACCTCTTTCACTTTGTCCACAATGTCGTTCTTCGCTGCGTACTTCTTGATTCCATCGGAGTACATACCCGCCTTCTGTACGGGGAAGAATGGTAAGTCATTGAATTTATCATGGAGTTCCACTGGTGCCTCGATGTCGCACTCGATGAAGAACCCATACTTGCCGAACGTATTGAGTGATTGCACCCATTCATTCGGATCACGGTTGATCCTTTCCATTACTTCTCGTCGTTCGGGTACACCCACTAATTCGTAAGGCATCATTCTGTGCATGGCTCCACCATACAGGTTGTTGGCGTCGAGGTAGTAGATGGATGATTGCTCTCCGTTGTTGGCGGTGCTGTCAAGGTCGACTTTGGCATGCCTTTTCACGATCTGTGTGATGCCTCCTCGCAGGTTTTTGAGTAGACGCATGAAGTCATCGATCTCATTTGTCTCCATCAATCGAATTCCCTTGCTCTCATAGAACTCACCCATGCGGTTCAAGAACACTTTCACGAGTTGTTTCTCCTCAAGTCCCTCATTCGCGTTGATGCGCATGATGTACTGAGCCCATTTCCTTGCGAGGGTCATGAGGCTACTCTCGCTATGATCGCCCTCCATTGTGACCTTTAAGAAGAGCGAATAGGCCATTTGTGGTGCTGTGATGTAGTGCATCGGATCAACACCGAATGCCTTCAGTGTGGTAACGCGGAAGTGCTCGAATGCATCAGCCATGAGAGTTACATCGAGTACATTGTACAACTCGTAGTACTCACCCCATGTCTTGATATCGAAGATCTTCCACAGTTTCACCATGTGATCATATTCGCCTTGGGGCATCATTTCTCCCTTCATATCATCAATGCATTGTTCACGAGAAGGAATGGTGGTATTGTTCAATGTGTCGTACGATTTGATGAGACTGTAAAACATGGGTTCTTTCCGTG